TTTCCACAGGATCATTTGAAACCTATTTGGGTGCCAGAACGCCTGGTGAGGAAGGTGCAAGTGCAGACGGAGGCAGAAAAGGATGTTACGGATATGTCTGGGGATCCTGTGCCTGTTCCTCACCCACTCAACGGAGAAAGTGATGGCGGAGCTGCGGTGGGGGATTCTGTCAGCCTTTCCCAAGCTGATGCCAGTTCTCCATGACCTGGATCATCATAGCCATGAATCATCTGAAGGAGTGGGTGGGAATAAGAGCCCTAACAGGCTTAATGGTGCTTGCCTCCCTGGTATGCCTATGGTGCATTTGTCACATAAGGGTTTCACAGCATTGCAATGCAGTTATGATCATTCAGGCCTTCATGGCCGTTGAAGCAGGACAGTTCCCTCAAGCTTGGTTATCTATATTTGAGCACAGGATGCGAGTCTTGCACACTGCACTTGAGGTAAGCATACATCAGCCTCAAGAAGAGCAAGTCTGATTGCATGTGGGTTGGTGTCTAACTCCCACCTCTGTAAAAAGACACCGGACAGTGTCTCTGAGTGGATGACACCTGGACAGACACTAGTATATGTTCCATTTTTAACAGAGATCAGACCTCTACTCTTGCCTGGTGCTTTACAAAACAAAAAGGGGAACTGTAGAGAGTTGCGTGGAGTGCACCTGATGATGCTGGCTCCTGCCCTCCGCAATCCCGAAAGCGAGTGCTCTCTGTGATAATCAATGATCACGCAATGATCATCAGCTGCCTGCATATGCGTGAACCTATGGGCAGTGCCCACCTGGCAATATCCGGGTTTGGCAGCCTGTGTCTTTTTAAGGGCTGGGAGAGATTTGCCTAGAAAGAGAGAGAGAGAGAGAGAGAGAGAGAGAGAGAGAGAGCAGGAGAAGGAGAAAGATTGCTGTGAATAAAGTCCTGAATAAAACTGCAGTAAGAAGAGCTCCAGGTGTCGCATCATCCTTGCGGGTTGAGGGTGGCCGTGACAGCCTCCCTGACCTTCTTTCTTTCTTTTTTTTTAAATATTTATTTATTTATTTATTTATTTATTATTATGTATACAATATTCTGTCTGTGTGTATGTCTGCAGGCACCAGACCTCATTACAGATGGTTGTGAGCCACCATGTGGTTGCCGGGAATTGAACTCAGGACCTTTGGAAGAACAAGCAATGCTCTAAACCACTGAGCCATCTCTCCAGCCCCTGACCTTCTTTCTTTTAGACAGATTTTTTTTTATATTTATTTATTATGTATATAATATTCTGTCTACATGTATTCCTGCAGGCCAGAAGAGGGCACCAGATTTCATTCAGATGGATGTGAGCCACCACGTGGTTGCTGGGAATTGAACTCAGGACCTTTGAAAGAGCAGGCAATGCTCTTAACTGCTGAGCCATCTCTCTAGCCCCCAGAGAGAATTTTTCTGTGTAGCCCTGGCTGTTGTAGAATTAGCTGGCCTTGAACTCACAGAGATCTTCTTGTTTCTGCCTCCTGAGGGTGCGGGGATTAAAAGTCTGTACCACCACCACTGGGCAACATTTCATTTCTTTTTCTTTTTCTCTTTCTTTTTTTTTGGGGGGGGGGGGTATGTGCTTTGAGACAGGGTTTCTCTGTAGCTTTGGAGCCTGTTCTAGAACTAGCTCTTGTAGACCAGGCTGGCCTTGAACTCACAGGGATCCACCTGCCTCTGCTGGGATTAAAGGCATGGACCACCACCGCCTGGCTGCAAGAGTTCATTTCTTTTGTATGTGCATGCCTGCCGCGGTGTGGCAACCAGAGTGCAATTTGCAGGAACCATTCCTTTCTTCTGTATGGGTCCCAGGGCTGGAACTCAGGCCCCCAGACTTGTCAGCTACTACTGAGCCATCTTGCTGGCCCATGCACTGTTGGGGAATAGTATTTCCAGGTGTGTGACTTTTGTTCACACTGTATTTGTTTAAGTCTGAAGTTGTGGTATGGTGCCCGTTTAAAATACCTGATGGTTCTAATAAAGAAATGAACGGACAATAGCAAGGCAGGAACAAGGACAGGAAGGGCTGGCAGGAAGAAAGGATAAATAGAAGGAAAACCAAGGCCAAGGAGAGCAAGGAGTCAACGAGAGAACAAGGACAAGGGGACACCAGGGGCCAGCCACCCAGCTTCACTGCAAGCCATGGAGAAAAAAAGGTAAAGAAAGGTAATACAGCCGCGCGGTGGTGGCGCACGCCTTTAATCCCAGCACTTGGGAGGCAGAGGCAGGTGGATCTCTGTGAGTTCGAGGCCAGCCTGGTCTACAAGACCTAGTTCCAGGACAGAAAACAAAAAGAAAGGTAATACAGAAATAGATAAAGAAAAAAGCCCAGAGGGAAAAGGGAGTTGGAATAATTTAGGTTAAGAAAAGCAGGCAAGAAACAAGTCAAGCTAAGCCTGGGCTTTTATAAGTAATAATAAGTAAGCCTCTGTGTGATTTATTTGGGAACTGGGTTGATGTAGGTGGGTCATCTGTCTATCTGTTGCTTTCATTGTTTAAGTAATAAAGAAACTGCTTGGCCTTTGATAGGACAGCAGCTTAGATAGGCGGAGTAAACAGAACTGAATCCTGGGAGGAAGAAGGCAGTGAGCCAGACGCCATGCCTCTCCTCTCCAGGCACACGCCATAGCTCTCCTCTCCGAGATGGATGCAGGTTAGAATCTTTCTGGTAAGCCACCACCTCGTGGTGCTACACAGATTAATAGAAATGGGTTAATCAAGATGTGAGAGTTAGCCAGTAAGAGGCTGGAATTTATGGGCCAAGCAGTGTTTAAAAGAATACAGTTTCCGTGTAATTATTTCGGGTAAAGCTAGCCTTGTGGAGCTGGGCAGGAACGCAGCCCACCACTCCTCCTTCTACACTGGGTGGTGGGCCCTCCAAAAAGTCAAAGGGGTAAAATGTCACAAAACAATGTGTTATATATTTTCATAGAGTATTAAATACAAAGCTAGGTGTGGAGACAAGTTCTCAAATGCTAACATCCAATAGGCAACGATTTCTAGGCCAACCCTGAATACAGAGGAGACCTTGTCTTTAGACACAAGAAAGAGCCAGGTGTGGTGACACACGCCTTTAATCCCAGCCAGGTGGATCTGTGAGTTTGAGGCCAGCCTGGTCTACACAGCAGGACCCTGTCTTAGAATCCTTGCTCAGCATAAAGCTCTGGGTTGTAGCTCTTAGGAACCTGACTTAGTGACACAATGTTGTTTTCCCAGCATTTGGGAGGCTGAGGCAGGGGGATCAGGGATACAGTACAGCCTCCATTCCTTATCAAGTTTAAGAACAGGCCAGTTTGGGCTGCATGACACTCTTGCCGCAAAAGAGAAGGTAGGGGTGGGGGAAGGAATGAAGATGTAGTAAAACTGGGTGTGGTGACACATGCCTAACCCCACAGTCTCATGGAAGTCACTCTGGGTCCCCTCACCTCCCTGGAAAAGACTTTCACTCAGCTTGCCATGGTAGCACATGTCTGTCAGTTTAGCAGGACTGCTAAATTCAGGGGCCCAGCCTGAGCTACATAAGGGTTCCCCAGTGACCTGGCCTACAGATCAAGATGCTATCTCAAAAAACAAAGGAGGAGGCTAGAGGGATGACGCCGTGGTTAAGAGCATTTACTGTGCTGTGTAAGACCCAGGTTTGGTTCCCAGATGCCACACAGTGGCTCATGACCATCCTGACTATCAGTAACTCCAGATCCAGGGAATTTAACCTCTTCTCCTTGGGCACAAGGCACACATGTGATGTACATACGTATATGCAGCCAAATAGTCATACATACAAAATAAGAAAATAGAGCTTGGCGGTGGTGGTGCACGCCTTTAATCCCAGCACTCAGGAGGCAGGCGGATCTGTGTGAGTCCAAGGCCAGCATGGTCCACAGAGTAAGTTCCATGTCAGCCAGGGCTACACAGAGAGACTCTGAGTCAAAAATGAATAAAAATAAAACAAAAAGAAAAAGTGGGCCATTGAGATGGTTCATTGAATATAAGCTTTTTTGCCACTAAACCTGAATACCTGAGTTCAGTCCCTGTTACTTAAATCAGAATCAACTCTCACAAGCCGTTTTCTGACCAGGAGATTTATGGCACAATAATGTATACGTACAGACAAATAAACCAAGTAAAAAAAAATTTGGGAGGGGGCAGGAGAGATGGCTCAGAGGTTAAGAGCACTGACTGCTCTTCCGGAGGTCCTAAATTCAATTCCCAGCAACCACATGGTGGCTCACAGCCATCTGTAATGAGATCTGGAGCCCCCTTCTGGCCAGCAAGCATACATACAGACAGAACACTGTATACATAATAAATAAATAAATAAATCTTTTTAAAAAATTGGGAAAGAGAATCTTTTCTTTAATGTAAAGTTGTTTTGTCTGCTTGTGGTTTCTATAGTTTGTCTGGTGACTGAAAAGCCAGGAGTGAGCGTGGGCATCCCCTAGAACTGGAATTACTGACGGTTTTGAACCACCTTGTGGGTGCTAGGAATCGAACTCTGGTCTTTTGTAAGAGCAGCCAGTGTTCTTAAACGCTGAACCACCCCTCCAGATTCTGTCTCCAGACCCTGAGAGAGAATGATTTGATCTATCCGCCTCTCCAGGAATGCGGAAAGAATGATTTAAAAAACCAACAGGGGATGCAGACTCCGCCCACTGCACCAAGTTTTGCTCCCCGCTTAAGCCCCGCCTCTAGGCAGATCTGCTCCACTCCAATGAGCCACACCCTACCAAGGCCACGCCTCTCGCCCACTCGGGTCCGCCCACATTTCAGGCCCCGCCCCCAAGCCGCCAGGTGCCTCTTCGGTGATGACCACGCCCCCACCCAATCAGGCCCCGCCTTCTACACAGGACTCAATCCGGCTCCTCCCGCCCGTGGCCCCGCCTCCAGAATTTGCAACTCCCACACAATCCACCCAATCCGCTTCTGGACTCCCGGCTTGCGCGGTCCCCCCACCACCACTCGCATCACTTCCGGGGCGGTGTTAGGTCGAAGCTCACTTCCGCCCGCGGCGGAGCGGCGGTGGTGGCGGCGCAGGAACCCCAGTCGCGGTCCCGAGGGACAGACAGACGGACGCAGGGGCGGGCAGCCGGGAGCCATGGAGTGCGGCCCCGGAGCCGGCGGACGCGGGCGGCGGTGAGTGTGGGCGTGCGGCGGCGGGGAGTGCGGGCCTGCGGCGGCGGCGATTCGCGGAGCGGGGCCGAGGCGAGCGGGGGCCCTGCGTCCGAGACACCTCTGCGTCCTCCGAGGATGGCAGCACGACAGCACGATCAGCGTACCCACCCTGTCCCTCGCGTCTCTCTGTCCCCGGGCAGCGATCCTAGAGCAACCGTTTAACCTCCTCAGGACGCGGCTCTGCTCCAAGAAACGCCCGGGCCCAGCCGCCGACCCTGAGCCAGCTCCGGAACCTGCCTTTATCCCACACCACCTCCGCCTGCATCTCCCTGCTGACACTCCCCGTCCACCTCTGCCCCATGTCTGGTCTCTTCCTGACAGCTGGGGTCCACATCAGACTTCCCTTATGCAGCCCAGGACTCCAGGTTTCTCCCTCACCCCCACGATCAAGTCCTCATCCTGCAACAGAGCCCAAAGGTGCAGCTGAGCCGTCCCTGCTACCCCGGGAACCCTCTTTCACCGCCGGGGTTTACCTCTCCAATCCTGTGTCTCTTGACTGTTTCCCTTTTCCCATGGTGCGCCCACGCAGAGGCCAGAGGATAGCTTTCTGGAGTGAGTCGGCTCCCACTCTGTGGGTCCCCATGATACAGCTCTGATCTTCAGCCTTGGTGGCAAGTGCCTTTACCTGCTGCTCCACCTCCCTCAGCCCGTCGACATTCTTGCAGTTTTCGGCTTGCGCTGCTTCTAGGGGGGTTGCCTCCCTAGCCTGACTGGCTGGGTCAGGCATGCCGGTACAAGCAGGCATATGTAGGTCGTCCTAAAGCCCTTACTTACTTACTTACTTACTTACTTACTGGCTGCGGGTAACACCGGGGCCAGGTTTTATGTTTGTGATCACAGTACCTGGGATTTTGAGTGGCACTGAGTGAAATATCTTGGCTTGCGCTCCCCAGTGGCACCCATCTGTGAATGAGGTCCCACATGCTGTCTGTCCCCTCTATTATAACACTGGCAGATGTTGGAGGCTTATGTCTTTCTCCTACAACTTCCTTATTTTCTCTGGCTGCGCAACACATGGTTGTTGAGTGAGGCAGGTGCTTGCTGGTCTTGCTGGCCCCCTCCGCATGGAGTGTCTTGCAGGGTGGAGATCTGGTTAACTGTAGAAGAGTGACCATGTGGAGGGCTCAGGAGGGAGACTGAGGCCTACCATTGTTTGACTTGTCTACAAGTGTGCTGCAAGATGACACCCCAGGGGTTGCACCCGGATAAACTGTACCTAGGGATGTTGTCTGTGAACAGGGAGGAGGACACCCCAAAAGGGAGGTCACTTGATGGGTGTGTGCGGCAGAAGGAGCAGCCTGGCAAAGGATGATGGGGACTGAGCTGTGACCCAGGCAAGGAGGCTAGAGTGCAGTAGGGGAAAGGTGGGCTGGCAGGTGGAGCCATTTTAGCGGACTGGAGGGCAGTGTTCGTGATAGCACCCACTTTTCTGGCCTTGGTAGTAGGGCCTTGTTTCACCTTGTTCTTCGCCAGCATGGTCAGGGCTTCTTTCTCCCTGGGCTTCAGATCCTTCCAAACTCTGGAACCACGGGGGTTACAGGGTGTTCCCTGATGAGGCCTGGACTATAAAGGACTATAAAGCTGTGGGTGTTTGGGGCAGGATCATTGCCTTCTAGGGCTGCTCTGGGCTCTTCAGGGTCCTGGACAGAGTCCCCAGTCTCCACCCATTCCTTGCTAGGAGTGTTCCTGGTTATAGATGTGTAGGCATGGCCTCGTAATCTCTTAGAGACAGCCTCACCTGCATCTGAGAATTGCCACATGGGAGCTGGGGACTTTTTTTTTCTTCCCAAGACTGGGTTTCTGTTGAGTTCTGACTATCCTGGAACTCTGTGGACCAGGCTGGCTTAGAACTCACAGAACTGCCTGCTTCTGCCTCCCTAGTACTGGGATTAAAGGCGTGCGCCACGGCAGCCTGCTGGGAACTGGGGATTTTTTAACACCTCTTTGTCCCTGCTCTGGCTCTTCTCTCTTCTCTCTGCACTGGCATGGACTGGGACTTCTACCCAGCCCCAGGCTGCACACTTCAGGTACACAGGGAGCAGAAATGTGTCTGTGAGCCCACAGCTGCCTGAGTGTTATGTGTCCATCTGTCCTGTGGGTTTATATGCTGTGACCTAAAACCCATGGATATCCTCTTGTTAAAGTTGAACTGTGATGTCTCCTGCTTCCTCCCTGGCAGTGAGAGATGGTAGGCATGATTAGTGGCGGACTATTCTGGAAAGGTCTCTGTCTGTTGGGCAGCTCTGCACACAGTGGTCATGGCTTTGGTGTCAGCTGAACTCATTTCAGGGTGTCCTGCAGAAATGGAGCACCTGAGTTTCCCCTGGAGTCAGGCCCTGTCCCCTCTCTAACTCCCACCTGTCACTCTGAGGCACATTAGTAGTTGTAAGGATTGCAGACCCAGGAGGTTGGGTGACTCAACCCTGAGGCTGCAGCTGCAGGAGGCCTCAGCTGCCCTGACCCCAGGGAGACCCACCTGGCTTCAAGTACCGGGACAAACCATTTTCCCAGCCAATGGGGCCCTGCCTCTGAGATGCATCCTGTCCTTGTTCCTGGTCTTTGTGTCTGTTTCCTCCCCTGGGTTCTGTCTCTATGCTCCAAGGCCCTGTGGCGTACCCTCCCCCCTCCCCCTGCATGGGAGCCTTTGGGTCTCCTCTCAAGCCTTGGGCTGGGCTGCCTTGTCACCTGTTCCTGGAGGATAGAAATCTGTAAAGGACTGAGGGGTGGGGCTGGAGAGCTGGCTCAGCGATGAAGAACACTGACTGCTTTTTCAGAGAGAGGTCCAGGGTTCAATTTCCAGCACCCACATGGCACCTCACAGCTGTCTGCAACTCCAGTTCCAGGGAACTGGACACCATGACAAAACACCAGCGTACATAAAATAAAAAGAAAGAAAGAAAGAAAGAAAGAAAGAAAGAAAGAAAGAAAAGGACTGAGGGAGACACTGCTAGGCAGGAAGACAATCCGGACATAGGCCATGGGGTAGTGGAATGGCAGAGGCTGGGGACATAGACCGCAGAGTTGTGCATCAGAGGCCAGGAGAGGCTGCAGGGTGAGCTAGGGCTGTGGGCAGACCAAGAGGAACAAGCTAGCCCCTGGATATGGGGACATGCCTTCCTCTTTGCCTGGCACGGTCTAGCACCTAGTTCCACCCTAGCTTCCTAGAGGGAACCCATATCTTGGTGTCCCCTACAGGGTGTCCCACTGTACGACATGGAGACCTGTGGCTGCGAGGCTCCCGGGGGCTCACCTTGGACCGCGATGGGGCCGGGCTGCGGCCTCCTAACCGGACTGAGGTGTGCGGCCCGCGAGCCTGGCCGCCCGCTGCCCGCGTCTCGGAGCACCCCTGCCCCTCCCCTGGCCCGGCGCGGGCCCGGTGCCCGCCATGAACGGCCTGTCGGTGAGCGAGCTCTGTTGCCTCTTCTGCTGCCCGCCCTGCCCGGGCCGCATCGCCGCCAAGCTCGCCTTCCTGCCTCCTGAGCCCACCTACTTGCTGGTACCTGAGCCCGAGCCGGGGCCCGGCGGGGCTGGCGCTGCCCCCTTGGGTCCCCTGCGGACCTCAGCGGCCACCCCCGGGCGCTGGAAGATCCACCTGACTGAGCGCGCTGACTTCCAGTACGGCCAGCGAGAGCTGGACACCATCGAGGTTTTCCTGACCAAGAGCGCGCGCGCCAACCGCATCGCCTGCATGTATGTGCGCTGCGTACCTAGTGCCAGGTGAGCCGAGGGGTCCCAGGGCTCTCCCCGGGGGTGCATGCCCATCTTACTCTTCTTGTAAAGGACAGAAGAGCCTGCTCTTGGGTTCATGCTTTCTGGTCCCCAGCAGAGGGTGAGGTGTGTGTCAGGGGGTGACATCTCAGCTGGAGTCTGAAGTCCAAAGGGCAAGTCCTTTACTGAGGAGCCGGGCAGGTGCTTCAGGAAGCTTCAGGGGCAGGGCCACCCAGGTGCATGGCCTTGACCTGGTGCAGGCCCTGTTTTGTTATATAGTCCTGTCAGGGTTGGGCAGAGGCCAACTGGGAACAGGATGGCCCTTAAGAGTTGGCTAGTGGCCAGGGTTGGGTCCCTGTCCTCCCCTAGCAAGACTGTGCACTCGTGGAGTGCATGGGAACAGGCTCTTCCTTGGTGCAGTTTCCAGCACCGTGGAGTGTACATGCCATTAGGGAGACGGCCATCGCCCTCCTGTTAAAGATTGAACTCATTGTGGGTCCCTCTGTGTTCCCTGTAGATGGGCAGCCTAAGGCCCGCTGGCTGATGACACCAGGGGTGCAGGATTAACTGTTCCCACCCAATACTGCCTCCATTCTGGGAGTCTAGCAGCTGAGCAGATGGGACAGTGAGTGCTGTCGGCTACCAGCACAGATGGTCAGCCTGTCTGTGCCCATGCCCCTCTTCCCCGACCACCAGGTACACAGTTCTCTTCTCGCATGGCAATGCAGTGGACCTGGGCCAGATGTGCAGCTTCTATGTTGGCCTGGGCACACGCATCGGCTGCAACATCTTCTCCTATGACTACTCTGGCTACGGGATCAGCTCTGGCCGGCCCTCAGAGAAGAACCTCTATGCCGACATTGATGCGGCCTGGCAAGCCCTTCGTACCAGGTGAGGGCTCTGGCCCCTTGGGGCAGGGGTGGGACCAGCGGGATAGGCACCTGTGGCCCAGAAGACAGCTTCCTTGATCCTTGCTGTCCACTGGGTCCAGGAAATGGCTGTTGAGGGACCTGGTAGCCCAAGGGCTAGGACACCTTAGGACTCCGTGTTGTCAGCTCAGCTCGTTCTGGGGCAGCGGGACCAGAGGGTGCCCAGGTGGCAGCAGTCACAGGTTTAGCCCGCCAGCCTGCACTCCAGACCTTTAGTCTCGGCTCCTCTGTCACACTGTACATCCCAGTCACCCCAGTCTCACCCGCCTCACGAAGGCTCCTTTTTCTCCGTCACCGAGCAGAGCCCTTGCAGGGGGTTAGAAGAGGCTAGTCGTCTCTAGTTCTGGAGGTCCCATGTGGTACTGGGATTCTGACAGCCCTGGGGAAGTGGGGACCCTGGTTGCCCTGGAGATAGGAGGTGTCACTGGGCTGGCTTCCCCCTGTGGACACCGTCCAGCCTGGAGAGTGCTCCGTGTGTTCTTAGCTCTCTCCATTTGCCCCACCATGGCACTGGCTTTCAGGGGCCTCTGCCAGCACCATAGCTAAGCCTCAGGGGAGGTGGGGTGACTTCTGGAGGGGCTGCCCCCCGTGGTGAGGGGAGCTTAGGCCTGAGCTGTGCCTAGTGCTGAGCAGGCAGAGCTGGGGGTCTTGGTCAGCACACATGGGCAGTATAGGTTGCCCCCAGGTGGTCCAGCTCCTGCCTGGGATCAGGGGAGGGGCCTGTGGACAGACAGGTGGGAATTCTGACAGGGGCAGCAGTCAGGGCGGCACTAGGCCAGCTCAGCCAGGATAAGTGACCACAGCAACCTGCTGGGGTAGGAGGGGCCACAGGATAGCTGGGAATGGACTGGCTCCCAGGACCTGCGCAGCCGCACTGCCTGTGTTGTGCAAGCTTCTATTTTGGCAGCAGGGAACTCAGGGGACCCTAAACTGGGCCGAGCCATCCGGGGACACAGTCTTCTATATTCCCAGAACCCAAGCTTGTGGAGAATCAGCGATGGGAAGAGACAGACCCGCTTTCTCTCTGGGGTCAGGATGGAACCAGAACTTTGGGTCTGGACTCTTAGGTCCCCAGCCTGCTCACTCAGGCACTGTCAAAGGGGCTGAGGGAAAAGCCAGGGAGCTGCGGCTTGGCAGGGCCCTGGGAGCTGCCCTCCTCCAGGCCTCCTGCTGACCCTGCCGCTGCTGTCGGTCAGGTACGGCATCAGCCCGGACAGCATCATCCTGTATGGCCAGAGCATCGGCACGGTGCCCACGGTGGACCTGGCGTCACGCTATGAGTGCGCTGCAGTGGTCCTGCATTCGCCTCTCACCTCGGGCATGCGGGTGGCCTTCCCTGACACCAAGAAGACCTACTGCTTCGATGCTTTCCCTAAGTGAGCATGGCAAGTGGGTCCTGGGGGCGGGGTCTGAGGTAGCGGGGCGGGTCCAGCCTGACCATTTTCTCTCTCAGCATCGAGAAGGTGTCGAAGATCACATCACCGGTGCTCATCATCCACGGCACGGAGGATGAGGTGATCGACTTCTCACACGGGCTGGCACTGTATGAGCGCTGCCCAAAGGCCGTGGAACCACTGTGGGTAGAGGGCGCCGGGCACAACGACATTGAGCTCTACAGTCAGTACCTGGAGCGCCTGCGCCGCTTCATCTCCCAGGAGCTGCCCAGCCAACGCACCTAGCCAAGCCGCAGGGACCTCAGCAGCACACGGGCCTCCTGCCGGGGCTGCATGTGACCCGGCGCTCAGGACCCTTCCCGGTACCCCACAGGCCACGAGCCATGTGCAGGTGAAGGAGGTCCCTCTTTTCCTCGTGGATGCAAAGAGAAGGAAAGAGGGAAACTAATTAAAGGTTTAAGATTTTAGGGTTGCCCTGGCTTCTTCATGGCTCCAGTGCGCCTTCCTGGGGCTGGGAGATCGCAAGGACCAGACGGGTGCTGGGCTGTTAGGAAATTGTCAGGTCCTTTCTGCTAGCCTGCACCCGGACTGAAGGGCAGCGCCTTGCTCTGCAGGAGTCCCCACCCCCACTGTGGACAGAGCATAAGCTCCTACTTCAGATGCAGAGATGACAGGCCCAGTAGACCCCGGGGCCAGGCCATGTACTGTGCCAAAGAAGCTGAGGTGATCGCCTCAGGACTGCAGGGCAGCCCTAGCTAGGGACTCTTCGAGCAGTAGGGTCCCTTGAGGGAGGAAGGGCTTGTCTGCAGGAGGCCAGCACTCTGAACTGACTCCTGATGCGGCAAGGTACATTTGGGGGCTGGAATATGTGGGGTGTGGCTGTAGCAGAAGTGACATTTGGTTTTCACTCCCAAGTCCATGACCCTTGAAAGCCTCCCCAAATCGGAGTGGAGCATCCCTGACTGTCTAGCCACTCCTCTCGGACCTCAGGTTACCCACGCCCTGACCAGATCCCTGTCTGCAGTCCAACCGACTACCTCCTCCCCATTACCTGCTGCAGAGTTGTCTCTCCTGCTTCTTCCCTTCCACCCCCTGAAATGCTGAATTGAGAACCCAGGCTGCCCCAGGACTAAGTCTCCTGTGACCCTGGCACAGCTGGGGAAAAAGCAGCTGCCCCGAGCCCAGAATGCACACAGTTAGCAAGCCTCGTCCCCAGCTGCTCATCCTGGAATCAGACTGAGGCAGGAGGATTGCCACCAATATTGAGGGAAGCACAGGGTAAAGAGCGAGTGAGACCTTCTCAAGCCCAGCTTTTGCTGGCCACAAAGTCTGGTTTCCTGGGTACTGGAACCAGGTTCTTCCTGTGGGGGAGAACATTCCACCTGCTGAGCTGTGGCCCCAACCCTCTTTCTGCTTTTTGAGTCATGGTCTTACTCTGTAGCTCACTGTGATCTTGAACTGACCCTGAGGCCTGCCACACTTGGATTCTGGTGCAGGGCACACCAGAAGAGAACTCACAGCCCCCCCTTTTGTTTTGAGACAGAATCTCTGTTTTTAGCCTGGCAGACTGAAATTTGCCATGTAACTGGCCTCCAACGAGAGGCAGCCCCACGACCTCAATCTCCCCCCTGCTGGAGTGAGACCTGATGAGCCAGCATAGGAGCCAGAGCCAGTGCAAACAACCAGCCAGGCTGGGGCTTGGTGGCACACACCTTTAATCCCAGCACTCTGGAGGCAGAGGCAGGTGGATCTCTGTGAGTTCGAGTCCAGCCTGGTCTACAGAGCTAGTTCCAGGACAGCCAGGGCTACACAGAGAAACCCTGTCTCAAATGAATAAACAACAAACCCCACATTTATTTGGGGTGAGGCACATGTGCCCCAGCATGTGCAGAGGTCAGAGGTCAACTGTCAGGAATCAGTTCTCACCATGTGGAGTTTTAAAGGCAAGTGTCTACTCACTGAGCCATCTGGCTGTCCCTCCAGCCAGCTTTTAAAATGCTTCCATTAATCCCAGCACTTGGGAGGCAGAGGCAGGCGGCTCTCTGTGAGTTAGAGACCAGCCTGGTCTACAAGAGCTAGTTCCAGGACAGGCTCCAAAACCACAGAGAAACCCTGTCTCAAAAAACCAAAAAAAAAATAATAATAATAAAAAATAAAATGCTTCCATATGCTGTTTTGTAATAGCCATCTCTGTCACTATAGTTATTTAAAAGTTGGATAAATGTACATTTATTATAAAGATGTATATTTAAATAGTCTGTATTTTACGGCCTTTTTCTACCCAGTTGGTTTTGTTGTTTGCTAAAGCATCTGATATGTTAAGGAAACTGGGGGCTGGAGAGAAGGCTCAGTGGATATGAGCACTTGTTGCTCTTGCAGAGGACCCGGCTCAGTTCCTGTCACTCTAGCTCCGGGGCATCCAAAGTCTGTGGACCCTGAGCTCCTACACACAGATCATTTAAGTGTGTGGGTGCTTGGCCTGTAGGCAGGTGCCCAGGGAGGCAAGAAGAGGGTCTCAGGTCCTTTGGAGTTCCAGGTGGCTGTGAGCTGCCCCACATGGGTGCTGCTCTGAACCATGCTAGACCCCCCCTCCCCCATTGTGTTTTGAAACAGGGTCTTTCCTGGAACTGACAGAGAGTGCAGCAACTAGAGATGTGGTGGTTTGAAATCTGTATTTTCAAAAATTTATTTTGGCATTTTGAGAGCGTCTCAAACTCACTGTTGCCTAGGCTGACCATAAATTCCTGATCCTCTGGCCTGTTTCCTGAGGCTGGAATGACAAGATGTGTGCCACCAATGTATCTGGTAATTTATCTTGCTTTTTTTTTTTTTTCAAGACAGGTTTCTCTGTGGTTTTAGAGCCTGTCCTGGTCCTGGAACTAGCTCTTGTAGACCAGGCTGGTCTCCAACTCACAGAGATCCACCTGCCTCTGCCTCCCAAGTGCTGGGATTAAAGGCATGTGCCACCACTGCCTGGCTGCTTTTGCTTTTTTTTTTTGTTTTATTGAGACAGGGTTTCTCTGTGTAGCCCTGGCTGTCTTGAAACTTTCTCTGTAGACCAGGCTGGTCTCAGTCACAGAGATGTGCCTGCCTCCCATGGGGTGGGTGATACGGAACTCACCGTGATCCAAGAGCTAGGAATAAAGGCATGTGCCACCACTGCCACCTTGATCCAAGGGCTAGGAATAAAGGTGTGTGCCACCACTGCCCAGCTTTATCTCGCAAGTCAGACTTATAAGGAAACATTATCTGAACTTTCAAGTGCATAAGATACTTTGTTTTCTTCTACAATGGGGGTAGTTTCCTCTTTTACACAAGTTAATGTGTCTGTGTAAGCAAATCCTATGTGTCAACAGTGGCCCAAGGCTGGAAGAGGTCAGGTCCTCTGGAGTCAGAGTTGCAGGTGATCCTGAGCCGCCTACTATGGGGTTTGGAAAGACCAGCGAGTACCTTAACCCCTGAGCAGTGTCTCTAGGGTGCCCCCAATCTTGTCTCTTTGCGACAAGATCTTGCTGTGTAACCCTAGCTGTCCTGGAACTGCCATGTAGACCAGGTTGGCCTGACGGTTGTTATCCACATGCTCATAGGAGGATTCTAGACTTCTACCCATCTCACTGTGTTGCAAAAGTCTGTTCCCCGCCCCCACCCCCGGTTTTTACAAGACAGGTTTTTGCTAGGGTTGCCTGCACACATAAAAAACCAGCTTTTCTTTTATTTTGGTTTTTCGAGACAGGGTTTCTCTGTAGCTTTGGAGCCTGTCCTGGAACTCACTCTGTAGACCAGGCTGGCCTCGAAGTCACAGAGATCTGTCTGCCTCTGCCTCCCGAGTGCTGAGATTAAAGGCGTGCGCCACCACTGCCCGGCAACTCAAGTTGTAGGAACTCCTTCTCATACTCTCAGGTCCTGTCTCCCCTCAGTGCTCGGGCTTTCTTTTTTCTCATGAACAGCAAAAGATCTCCTTTCATTCTGATCATCTTTGTAGGGCTGGGGGCGTGGTCAGGATGGAGCCCCGCCCAGAATCCTCTCAGAGAGGGGGCTGAGGGTGTGGTCAGGGTGGAGCCCCGCGTAGTATCGCCCTGTGAGCAGCTGCAAAAGAAAACAAGAAGGGAGCTGGAGAGATGGCTCAGTGATTAAGAGCATTGCCTGCTCTTCCAAAGGTCCTGAGTTCAATTCCCAGCAACCACATGGTGGCTCACAACCATCTGTAATGAGATCTGGTGCCCTCTTCTGGCCTGCGGACGTACACACAGACAGAATATTGTATACATAATAAATAAATAAATAAATATTTTAAAAAAAAGAAAACAAGAAATGAATGTAAATCGCTCACATCCAGAGATAAAATTCTGATGAAACTGTTATGTTAAGTAACAGTCCTAACTTCCCTTTGGCTCCTGCTGTTGGATCCTCTGATTAAATGAGGACAGCTCAGTTGCTGACCCCGTGTCTCTGTCAGCAGCAACCACAGGCCTCTGGGGCATGTGTGCACCTGTGTGTGTTTTCTCTGTGTACGCGTTCCCCACAAGATGCAGAGTGTAGCAGCCAGAGCCTTGTATGGAGTATGGAGAGTGTGGATGGAGCCTTGGGGACTTCGGACTGGACAGTCACCCCAGCTTCTAGGTTACTGTCTGTGGCTGTCTTTACGTCTGAGGGTCTTGCTCATTTTTACATACACCCCTTTCCCAGAGGCCACTGTCGACCCCAGGAAGCCACCTGGGGACAGGGTCTACCTTAGCTCTCCATTTTGTGAATTTCCCAGCCGCACTGATTCACACCCCAGTTGCAGTGGTCTCCCAGTCCAGTACGTGGCCACAAGGTCCTGCCGTCACCTCAAGCTCCCGATACATGGCTTACCTCCTAAGTGACTTAGTGGCCCCCAAAGAGTTTAGAATACAGGATCAGATGTGCCCTAGATGTACCCATCAAGCAGTGACACGAACCTTCCCACGCCTGACGTTCAGGTCGTTCTGGCCTCTCTAGTCTTGAGGGCTCTCTGTGGACAGCAGCCGGACTCACGTGAGGGCAAGAAAGGCCAATGCCTGCCTTGGGGTTCGAATTTCTCCTGAACGCATCATCTCTTTGGACTTGGAAGAGGTCTCTGACAGTTACCTCCCTTACTAGGGTATACAGTGGACAAGGATGTGTTAGGCGCATGGCTACTTTTGGCTGAGGGTCCACAGAGATGGTACATGTTTGTGATTCAGATTTGTTCATTTTGGATTTTTGCTTCTCAATGCTGCAATTTTATTTTATTGGTTTTTGGAACAGCCTTTCTCTGTGTAGCCCTGACTATCCTTGAATTCTCTATTTGTAGCCCAGGCTTGCTTCTCACTCACAGATCTGCCTGCCTCTACCTCCCAAGTGCTGGGATTAAAAGCCTGTGCCACCCGCCTGGCCTCAGTGCTGGTATTTTAAACAGGATTTTACAAAACCCAGGCTGGTCTGGAATTTACTATATAGACTAGAATAATC